TACGCGTTAAATTAAACATGTGGTATCGTGAACTCTGCTTCTTTCTGGACCCTACGTTAAAAAAATTAATTTGACGTTTAAATTTCGAAATCTATATGCATTTCACATAAAGACATAAATAATAACAAAACTTAGACGTCTAAAAGAATAAGAGGAATTAAAAGAAAGGAATGAGTTGAATGAGAATGATATAATAATTACAAAACTGAAGATGATCACAATGATGACACAAATATGCAATTCCCTTGGAAATCTTTACAAAAAATTGCTCAAATCTCCGCACTTTCGTATAATGAATAAAAAGTTAAAATAAAACTCAGTGTGAAAAAGGATAATTCGCACTTAAGAAAGAGAATTACGAGAAAAATTCAATAACGATTTATGGCGAAAAACATTTCAACGAAGACAAAAGAGGGCATTTAAGAGCTTGTTTAACGTTTCGATTAAATGCAAACTATAACAGCGGGTTATATAAACTCCATATATTGTAAATACTATACTATAAACCCGCTGCAAACGTATATAAACCTCTTATGTTCCAAATACCTATCAAATATAAGCTGTATCCCGCCTTCTATCAATTCGATTATAGTTCGTATAACTATATATTGAAGATTTTTTTAAAACAAATCTCCTGTGAAAACAAATCCTGCATCAAGTTGATGCTCAAAGGGATGATGATGATTAAAAAACTCGTATACCAAACAAAAGTTCGCCAAAAGTGTATAAATGATTAAAGTTCGATGTAATAAATGCCTTTTATTTAGCATAAAAACTGGATACACGCATAATGTAGGTTTTAAGTGCGCTCCTAAGTATAGATTCAACCTTATCCGCCATTAACGGCTATTATATTCAAGTAGCTGTTATTCCAGTAAAATTCATAATTGTCAGTGTCATGTTTTATTAAGCGCGTTTGCGCCTTGGTACACGCAAATCGAAGGTTCAGGCTTCCTTCGCTGCCGATACGAGAGACGTCGATCTATAATTTTCTAACAGCACCTTGCAAGTTCACCTTACTAACTCTTTAAATTGTAATAATCGAGTGCGCGAAGTAACTCGTCCCGCGTATTTCAGACGCGGAAACGAACGAATCGGTGATGTACGTATCGTATATCATCGTTTTTAATAATTAATTGGAGTGTGATGATAGAGGGTCCAGAAGCATTGTCACGATAGCATATGCGATATTATTGTCTGCGATAGAAAATCGTGAGTGTTCGCGTTATAAAATATAAGAATATATCCCGGGGGAAGCGAGATAACAATTATTTATATATTATTTATATCTCGTTCACAGCCGTTTAATGAGGAAATAATAAATATTGAGCGGAACATTACACTCATAAATGCGACACTCACGAATTAGTGCGTATATAGAGTACATAGGAGATCCTTATCTCGAGAATTCAAGTCAGATATATATATATATATGTAATAAAAGAATTCAATATATTGAGAAATTAATCTCAATCACGCATATAAATTTATGACAACAAGAAATTATTAAGTGCAAGCCGTTCAAAAGAATCTATATATAAAATAAACAGTTTATAATAATATTTATCTTTTTAACAATTAAATATGGCAATTTGATAAAACAATTTATGAAAATACAAATCACAAGACGGATCTCCTGCGAGTCTATAACGCTCGAGTCACGAATTTCGCGAAGATTGATAATCTCCGAATGACATTGACAAAGATTATCGATAATTCTCGTTATTCGGAGTGAGCGTCGGTGCAATCAGCATCGTCGAATCGGAATAAACTGCATTACCTTTGTAAAACTTTGTCAGCAATTCAATGATAAAAGATTAGCGTCGCGAGTCGAACGCATGGTTCTTTCGATCAAATCTCATCTGGCAATGCGAAGACTATATCGTCGGTTACAATGATCCAAAACATTCCTTTCCGTTTAAATGTAAATATTATGCTTCGTTTCTTTAGTCATATTTCTCCGAGCCTATCCATGGAGATGTTACTATTGATAAACTCGTGATTGACTAGTGCCTGAAAAATGTAGAAATAATAATAATGGTAAGAATTAAAATAATAGAAGTACAAAAATAAATATTTTCTGCAAAACGAATCTCGCAAAAAGCCTCGAATTAGACGTTAATTTTTTCGAACGTTACGTGGATATTATAAGAGAAATAGCCGACATTTTTTCGGTATTTTTAATTTACTACACCAAGTGTCGAGAATGTCACAGTTTATCCCGCTTCTACGGTTCTAAAAAGCGACTCGCAAGCAAACGTATGTGAGGAGGAGTGTTGCGTGAGAGTGTTGCGAGTGAGAGAAGAGGAGAGGAAGAAAGAGAGAAAGAAAAATCTGTTTCTCTTTCTTATTTTGTCAATAGCTTACATGTGTGAGAGCGGTTGTATGGCGTGATGCTGCAGAGAGTCCGGCGATGGTCCCGGCGAGTAGACGCCCGCACCGGGCTGATCGGGGCCGTGTGGTAGATACATCGAGATCATGTGCCTGAGGTGGTCGCCCTGCGACGTTTGCTGGCTCGCTTGCTGCTGGCCCATGTATTCCCGCTTGACGGCCTGGTTGGCGACCGCAGCCGCGCTCGTCGATGTTGGACCAGCCGTCGGCGTCGGCGTGTGGATGCCGCCGCTCGCCGGGCTCGTCGGTTCGGATTTTATGCTACTGCCGCTCGGACTATGACTTGACATCTGAGAGCCCGGTTGAGCCTGGTGATAAGGTGACGGCGAGCCGCCGGGCACAGTGGTAGCGCCGTATCCGCCGTATCCGTTCATGTAGTTGTTGATAGGGCTGGGACTACCGCCGCCCATGTGATGGCTCATAGGGTCGTACCTGGGGTAGGCAGCAGCCGAGGCTGCAGCGGCCGCCGCAGCGTTCCCCATGTGACCGCCGTATGCGACGTGTTGCTGGTACGCGGCTGTTGGGTCGTGCATCATGTAACCGTTAGGCATGTAGCCGTTGGACATTTGATAGACATCACGCGACAATTGCGGCTGCTGCGGCCCGCCGCTGGTGACAACTTGTCGCTGATCGACGAGCATACCGCCAACACCGGTGACGCCGCCAGCGAGCGGAAACTTTTCCTTCTTGAGTAACGTCTTTGTCTTGCGTCGTGGTCGATATTTGTAATCCGGATGCTCCTTCATATGAACTGCGCGCAATCGCTTCGCCTCATCGATAAACGGACGCTTTTCCGACTCGCTAAGGAGTTTCCATTCGGCGCCGAGGCGTTTCGAGATCTCAGAGTTATGCATTTTCGGATTTTCTTGAGCCATCTTGCGCCGCTGACCGCGCGACCATACCATAAAGGCGTTCATCGGCCTCTTCACGCGGTCCATATTGTTGTTCTTGGCGTTGGCAGAGTTGCTAGGGTTGTTGGGATTATTAGGATTGCTATGATTATTAGGCTGATGATGCTGTTGCGATTGCGATTGTTGCTGTTGTTGATGAGAATGGTGCTGCTGTTGCTGCTGCTGCTGAGCACTCTGTTGCGCTGCCATTGCGTGCATGTTTTGCTGCTGTTGCTGAACAGCGGCGGCGGCTGCCATCGAACTATAATGATGCTGAGATGTCTGATGATGATGCTGAAGACCAAGACTCAGACCGCCCGCGCTGGGCGGACTTCCCGATAGCGCCGGGCTGTGAACTATCGAGCCGAGACTACCGTAAGGAGACATCCCCGTGTGGTGACCCATCGGCGATACGCCCTGGTGCGGATGCGGTGGCATCTGAGCGTGCAGATTGCCGCCCTTCATGTCCGTCTCCATCGTGAGCATGTCTTCCTCCCTGTGCCCGTACAGTTTGCCGCCCTTTTCTAGTACCGTTCGACGTCAAGAAAATCAACGGAACACCCCGAGATTATCAGATCGATCACCGGCTGTTTATCCGGGTTAATCGAGTTACCACCGGTCACTTTTTCCTCAGCGTTTTCTATGCGCAGCTGTTTCTGAAGCAGTAAACCAAAAATCGACTGCGGATTCTAGGTTGACTAAGTCGTAACTACCACTTTTCCGTCAGTGGTGAATTCTGACGCGCGCGTGCACGTTTCTCGGCACCTGCGTGCGATCAATCGATTACACGATCGCGTGGGCGCACTGGTCGTACAATGTGCCAACTACGAAGGCGCATTCCGTACGTATACGATCTTTATTCCGTGGAGCTCCTCGGATCCAGTCACGAGTATCGTTCACGAGGCGCCTAATCCCGTGCGAACGCGAACTCGGCAGGAAGTACCACTCGCGATCGTCATACTATGGACACCGTCCTCCTACGCACCATCCGTTTTATGATTCAATCGTTTCTTTTCTCTCTTTTTTTGCAGTTTTCACCAGAGATCTTCGTACGATCTGTAAGTCACAGAGTCCGAGCGAGAACTGACGACACTATCACTTTCTTCCCCTCACTTGCTAGTCTCTCACCACTCCGTACCGTTCGCCAGCCGCTCTGACTGGCTGCGGACCACGGCACGCTCGACGAATCGCGTCACGACAATGCGGCAACGACGCATCAGCAAAACACGGATGCTTCGATGCGGCGGTCTTCTTTGAAATCCGACGATGGCACCTAAACGGCGCGTGCGGTAGAATAAACGAGGCCAGAAAAGCAAAACCGACGAGGACCAGCGAACCAAGAGTCACTGTTCACGATCACTGTTCCTGTCTTCGAGGTACTCTTCCGTTAGTTCTTCACTCGCGTATACACGTTTCCCCGTGTGTAGGCTTAGCCCCGTAGCACGTGTCTACGTGCTTTTATTGTTTATTGCTTCTTCCCCGGTCGCTCTTCTACCACGATGTTGTATATCAACGAAAACGAAGAATAACCGACGCAGAAGAAAGGAGACACAACTTCCACTCTGCACGAGAGAACGAAACTGTCTGAGCATTTGTACCATACGCCTTGGGGTCGGAGCTCACTTCCTGCCGACGGCAGTCCCCTTCCCCTCGGGTTTCGAGCTCCCTCTTTCTCAATCCCTACCTACGTTGAGGTATAGAGCGGGGACCGTGCCCGACCGACAGACCGGGCTCGAGGGTACAGCGGACAATCGATTGGCAAGCGCGCCTGCCATCATTTCTCTCGGCCAATCGGCCGCCAGCTTGCTCACCACGAAGGCGGCGCCATTGCGCCGTGACGTCACTGAACGTAAAGGACCGACCTCTCGCGGCAAAGCTTTGGTCCCCGTCATCATGCTCCCCTTCTCTCGTTTTTCATCCCTACCGTGCCATCTCGTCGTCCTCTCCTTCCCGTCTACCCCTCTCATGCTCCATGCTGTGCGCCAGTGACGTTTCTCCTCGCTTTTTCGCGCCGCGAAATCGGCTACCCGTCGGACGCATGTACCGCTACGCGCTGAGCAACGCTGGTGTGTATACATACGTGTCCGCGCACCTTAATACGCGATGCGTATATATCGATCTTAATGCGAATAAGTTACGTCTGATACGTGCGCGACAATGGTCTGATATGGCTCTTGGAAATTTTAGGAACTCGCAGGAAAACAGTGGGAAGAGAATATGCGGAATCTTTTCTAACTCGGGTTACAAAAAAACTGCAATACATAGTGCGATATATTATATTTTCCAGATTAAAATATCTCGTTTTGGAAAAATGATAATTAAGAACTTGAATTTTAAAAAATAATCATGATCTGTGTCGAGTAAATTATAAATCGATATAAATAGATGTCATTTATGCATCAATTAATTATCAACTCAAACTTTATAGCGTGTAAACAAATACAGTACAGTTTTAGTCGAAACTGCTGTCATTAACTGATTTATGTGAACGTTTAATAGATGTGTAACATCTTGCTAATTTGAACTAAAATAGTTAGAAATTTCTCAGAAATTCTATAGAAACAATTAAATATGTTTTATATTGGCAAAATACGATTTTTCCTGTTATTGTTTTGATCGGATATCGTTGCGAGATAAGAGCTTATCGAGATAGCGGATAAATGACCCAGAACTGCGATCAATGCAAGTTGCAACGAGACGTCAAAGATTCGTCCTCAAGGACGAATTGCGAAATAATAACATCGTCACGATCACGATGATTACGAACTCGAGTGAATTCGAAAATATACTCATCAGAAAATGAAAATATAATTGCAATAATCAAAATACAAAAAATTAAATATTGTTCGATAGAAAAATATGACCACACACAATCTTGTAATAAAAAAATGTAAATCACGCTTAAGAAGAGATATATGTTATTTAAAATCGTATGTGTACAGTGTCGATTTTTGGGAGATCGATGTCTCGGTTCCTGATATCGAGTCGCTGACGCACAAAACGCAGCCGCGTTTATCTATCACGCGTACTTCCGCCACGAACCAGCTTGTCTCGCGTCTCTTCTCCTTTTCGCGCATCTCGCGGCAACAGGTTCCACAACACGGAGCACGCTGAAACGAAGTCGTGACGCCCAATGAAGGCTTTTCGGAAACGATTTCGTGGACATTTCTTTGTGAATTTTAGTGGTCGATGGATGAGAAGACGAAATAAGGGAAAATGATACAGCGAAAGCCGTTTATTGCAAATTCCTCTCTTGAGCAGCAATAAAATAGATTTTAAATTAAAATTCAGAATTGATATCAAATTTATAATTGCAGAATTAATATATTACTGCAAAAGATAGAAACGATAGATGAGAAGATCTATAAATAAAATGATTTTTTTTCGTTTAAAAAGCTGATGTAGAAAAATACATTTAAAAAGTAAAGTAATTTCGCGACGCTTTACTTTCAACAAAGAAAAAAAAGCTGATTGATAAGATATCGATGACGCATAGCGAATCAGTAATACCATGAGACGGGAATTACGCATTACGTTTTCGTTTAATCTGTGATATATCCAATCATATCTGTCATATATATTTTGGAATGAGAGCAATTTGAAATGAAAAGAAATTCGTTCTACATTCTTGCAATTTGAAATATAATCATAAATACTGAAAGAATTATTTATATTCTTTCAGTAGCATATTCTTCGCCATATAAAAGTGAAAATGCATCAACCTAGTAATTTGTAATTAAAAAAAAGTAATGAGTAATTGCTAACAAACTTATGTATAGCGCGTTGATCCATTGTTTATTATTTCGTCATATCATTATGATCATCCAAATTTTTTTTTAGATTTTTGTTCTCAATTTTCAATCTGTGTGTAACATCTACTTTGATAATTTCAGCAAAGTCAGATCACTTTTTTCTAAAACTATTTAAGATATAGTTCTGCCGAAAGCTTTTCTTTTAAAGCTTTATAAATAAACAATTATTCATTTATTATCTATTTAAAGTGCAAACTAGGAACTCAATTTTTATATAAATAAAACCTATAAAAATGATCAAAATTCTTTAGAATCCATAAAAGTGAAAGAGTTGAGGTTGAAAATAGAAGCGAAAAATTTCGATTCCGGAATTTACTGATCGCCTCGACACATGCATGGAAGATGATAAATATCACAACAGAAAATACTCCACGAGAAAAGACGCGCGCTTTGATCGCGAGGTCAAAATCGATATGCGTGTGGAGAGAAGCACGTAATCGCAAAACTAAAGATCTCATCGCGAATTCCCGAACGTCGCAATCGGAATGAATGAACGTGCGCGGGCACGAGACGACGGCCCGTTCGTGCGGGTAGAGAAGGAGATCGATCGTGGGCCGTTCAGGATTCTGGTTTTCGAGTGCGTCTATGCCGGGGCACACAATGAGCTTTCTCATGTCGCACGATGGATGCGCACCAGTATGCGGCCGATGCACACACTCGTGCATGCACCGTATGCACGCGGCGACCGCGTGCGCGCGCGCGCGCGCGCTCTTTCCGATAGGACAGATAGCATGTACGATCGTGCGTGTGTCGTATACGTATATACGAGTGCCTAGGAAAGCTCGGTGCCACAAAGGCAGTGCGCCATCGAGTATCGCAAACATTGATTTGAATCACAAAGACCGCCCGCGGTATCCCATTGTCGGACTCCGACTTATTGTACGCTTTCTCTCTCTCTCTCTCTCTCTTTTACTATTTCTCCTTTACCCTCAGCTTTCTACGTGTATCGCGCGATTCGCGCTCTACCTTTTTTCAACGGTAACGACCTATCAATCCACTTATTCCGCACGGTTTATGTGCCACTTGTGGCATTTTTCGGTCTAATACCGTTGTTGCGCGCGGTGCAAATAATGCGTGCCGATTTTTATGGATCACACGTCACCTGCGACGAAGCCTATTGTGAGCCTAATCTGTAGCTTATTATGTCATACGAATGAAGAAGTAATATAATAACGTACGTATGAAGAAGTTTACATCAGATCGCACAATGACCGTGTTACAAAAAAAAAAAAAAAATCGTATCTTAAAAAAAAAACAAAAGCAGGTACTTTGTACCTGTGTCGAAACTCGACTAATTAGATTAATGGCAATATGAGCATATTCGCGTGCATAATTGTTCTGAACCCTGCCAAAGCAGCTGGCCGGCGATAATATTTATTGCCTCGTGGTTGTTCGATGAAAGCATTTATTTTTCGCCCACTATCTAATACTGAATGATCCATAAATCATGAATAAAAAGTCATAAACATAAATCATAAGAAAAATACCGCTTGCTTTCGAAGAGCAAATCTTCCATTATATAACAATAGATATACTAGACAATGTGTAAATTTGTAAATATTTTAACTGAAAAGGGTCAGTATTTATGAACTTTAAAACATGTGAATTTACGGAATATCATTTATGGTTTTAAGTAAAATATACTATTTTTACGGTCATTATCAATTAAGATGAGATCTTGCTTCAAAAAGAGAAAAGACTTATTGTTTTTTTTTTTTCGTTATTGTTGTAAAATTGATATTTGCTGTTTATTAAGAAAAGAAGTAAATTGGTGTACAAATTTCAACATTCCGTAGATTTAACATCGCGATTTTATCTTGAAATAAACTTTTTTTTTCAATTCATCGAACTTGGAACGTCGTCAAAGTCCGTGTAACCAAAAAAAAAGGCCAAGAGAAGGGGAGAGAACACGATCGCGCGATACGTGAGCGAATTCGTAGGCGGCCGATTGTCAACAGGTGATAGCATTGGGCCAGCTCTTAGAGCTCGAGTAACGAGGAAAAGGGAGATTGTGTGTGCCACGATGAGAAAGGTTGGAGGAGGAAAAAAGAGAGGGGGAGAGAGCCGAGATCGAGCGAAAATCAGGGGGTGGTTGTGACGGGGAGAGAACAGTGGCACCGGAAGGGTAGCCAACAAAGTCTTTATCGTTTCGAGGACCGATTACAAAGCTCGATTGTAACCATTCTTCGGAATCCAAATAATCTCTCGCTCGTCCGAACCACAAACGAGCAGCCAGCCATTGGGATAGAAATTTACAGTCGTGAGTTTTTACGCAGCAGTGCCATTAGCCCATCGCAACGGGCCATTAGAAATCGCCTGGCTTTTTTTCAAGGGCAGAGAAAACCGATTGCCCGATATTAAAACTTTTACTACCGGTATTCTTGCGATCACGATAGTTGTCATTCATTTGTATTAAGTGTGTCATAAATTAAATATCGATGTGAAATTATTTACATTATTTTCCCGTTAGCAATTGTGTGCGTATAACGAAGAATATTTGAATATATATTTAATTTTTATAATATATTTAATATTTAATTTTCTCTCTAATAAAATATAAAAATAAATTTATCGCGATTATATTGCATCGCAAAGATAAGCTAATCGATTTCGATTATATATCCCTACTCGTATTATGTCTACTGTATTCAATTAGTCATGTTTCGCATAAAGATATAAAACATGCCGATGTCATTTGCGACATCAAAATACAACCTTGTCCTTTGATCGACGAAGCAATAAAGTTAAAAAATATGATGCATTGTAAAATTTATTATTTTGACGC